ACCATGATCACTGCAAACTAAAATAAAATAATTCATATGACTGTTGTAGTTTTGAAACTCCTGATGAATAGGTGGAGGGTTTTGCAGCAGCAGTCTTGAAGAAGAGGTTAGAAAATTATCATGTCCCTTCTCCAGTGATATGTATAATAACATTTTCCACCACTGCATATGCCAGCTCTCTAAATATTATGATTTGGTTAATTTAAGGATTTATGACATGTAATTTTGTCATCTGGCTTTCACATTTGGTACTATAGCAGGAATGGCTTTCTCTAACAACAAGGACGCCTGTACTATGCAAATTGCTGGTGCTGCCAGAGAAATAGTTACTTGTTATTTTGTTAACCCAACGAACTGAAGATGGCTGCTTTAGATTATGTAGGAAACTGAAAAAGTAGGGATCTGCCGTAAGCCCCAAGCTCTTCTGTTGTTACGAGTCCTCAGTGACCATCTCACTGTAGTTGGTGACAAATACAAGTATTTCTCATCCTAAAATGATGTTCAAGGGATAAGCCTGATGCCATCCATAACTGATTGTATAACATACTTCCCAGTGGAGAAATGAACAAATAGAATTTTAAAAAGAATGTTATTAAAGAGAATTTTATGTCATTTTTTAACATAAAACATTTATTGAGGTTGCTGAGTGTATGTGACAGATGGTGCTCTTATGTCACATCCTATCTTTCATTTTGTTTTGGAACATGCAAGTCTTCCATGCATGCATAATTGCATTACAACGTTGTAGGTTTTTTTTTTTTTGTCTACTCACTGAAACATAAAGGAATAATCCAATGTGAGATCTTTAAGGGGGGGGGGGGGGGGGGTTGTGCTAGCAGTGATGTTAATCTGTTTGCTTTGGTGTTAAGTGCTGGCTAATTAGTATGTTTTATGATTTTTGCCTTAAAGTAAACTTCAGGTATAAAGGAAAAAGTCAGAAGTTACTTCATCAGTCTGCTGAATGCATTCAAGTAACTAGATAGATGATATCTACTACATAATAACATTTTTTGCTCTATGTTCTGAAGCATATAATATTAAGTTCCCTCACAATGGACTAATGCAGGTATATTTGAACTTTCCAGCTTGAGTACTCTTCAGATGCCAATGTGTTAATATTTTATGATATAAGTTAAATATCTGTATGATTCTAAAATTGGAATGAAGAAAAATATATCTTAATTTTCATTATATGTGGCATTACTTTTCCCCTTTCACTTAACTGGAGAGTGAACTTGAGCCTGACTTCATTAGAATGTTGTCAACCTAACCTTTATTTATATGGCAGCCTGAATAGCTTCTACTGTCTCTCTTATGTCTGGACTAGTGGATGGAACATACCGGACTTTGCTGTTGCCCTTGGCTTACATTGAGCAAATTCGTCTACTGTAGTGCTATTTTAACTGAAGAGTGTTTTGCAAGGAATGTAGAGATTATCTCTGTTTTACAAATTGGGAAACTAGAAATGTATGTGAGCCATACAGAATACACAAAGCCAACAAGATGATAATGTTGCTAGAATTACTAACTTGAGTCTTATCTCACTTCTAATAATTTTGACTGGTGACTCTTGATGCTTCGTTGTTGTTTGTATGCATGCATTCTTCCCTTCAAGTACAGTTAAGACAGTGAGGACATCTTCCTTCATAATGCAAAAACAGAGACAGGAAACACTTAAACCAAGATTAATATTTCCACTCAATGCATTCTCAGTCACTGAGTCCTCTACTACCTTTAATGCTATTATAGGTGCATAAATCCATTTATACCTTCTTTTATTGGCTTTTGAACACAGTTTTCAAAAGTCTAATTGAATGAGTATCTGTCCATTGCTGCTCTGGCTTGTGTGGATCAAGGCAATTCATGCTCAGGGCTGTCAGCTAACTGTATTGAGATGCTGTTGGTTGATTGAATAAGTGCTGAATATGACTGATTCTAGTCTGGTTTTGCAATGAAGTCTTAGACAGCATCTTTGGTTCTCTAGAACACTGGTAATGTAAACCTGTAAACATACTATTTATATTTTTGTGTGTATTCTGTGCTTCTGAAAATGATCTAATCTTAATCCTAACCTTCATGCATTACACTGTATAATATTTCAGTGGCATTTATAATTTCTTACCGCATCAATGTGCTTTGACTCTGTTGCAGCCTAACTGATGTTTCACCATAAGATAAATCAACCATTTCAGTATTGGAAGTGTAAAGGCAACTATACTGGTGATGCCTGAGTAGTGAAGTGTCCCAGTTTGCCAGGGTAGTTACGCTCTTTATGCTGTATGAAGAGAAAAGTATATCAGAAACCAAGTGGGTTTCTCCCCTTTAGTAGTATAAAGGTGATGTGAGTAAAATTAGCGTATCAGGACAAAACCTGTCTAAAGGAACTGAGAGGTATGTGTGTAACAAGTTCTTTATTGTGTGTATAGCTCCAAATGTAAAATGCATTTGATAGATGGTTGCTGTCAAACAAGTGATAGGATGTGGTAAGACAAAATGAGTAGCATATGACATGTCATGCAACAACCTTCTATTTGATTTTTCTTAGTTACAGTGTACATTACATAGTTTTAAATGATCAAAGCTAAAGAATGTAATAGTTCATTTTCAGCTTGGAGCATGGCTTTGTAAGCCACAGTGTACCTCTTCATTATGTTAAATGATAGTTAGGTTATAAGGCGCAGGCCTGCTAAAGGTCTTCCGCTTGTTCACATCGCATCTCATAACGGAATGTGCTTCATGCAAGTTTGTGTTGGGCAAACTAATTTTTAATTGATGTCACAAGTAATTGCTACTTTCTGCCTGCTTTAACAACTGTGTACCAAGCCATTTCTGGTGCAGTTGCTTTTGCCCTGCCATAGCCACTGTTTGACAACATACTAATACACACAAAGGCAATAAACTGTGGTTTGTAACAGCCGTAAACTTGTCTATAGTGTCTCTGATTTCTGTTCATTAAGACTTGAAGTTTAAGTTAGTTCATTAGCTGTTAATTAACATAATACTTGTTAGGAGTTAAAGAAGATCAGCTAATGAAAATTTATGCTGAGGTATTAACCATATTGAAATTGAATTATAAGTCTGATCCTCGAGACTTTCAGCATTATGTGTTACCATATCTTCAGCTGCTTTAGTTGAATTAGTCTTGAACAGTGTCCAGGTTCTTTTTAATCATTTTGAATACTTTGCTTTCACCTTCCTGTTATTCTTTCTTAGCAAAATGCTGACACATGAGGAAGACTATTTTTTTTTTCTCCTTTATACAAATACCTTTTTTTCTGTTGTGTATGTTGATTATTGAATACTTGCAAGACCATCATTAGTTTCTTGAACGGTTACGATACAAGTATGGTGCTGTCCAATTTTTGGTAGGTCACATTTCTAGTCAGTGAAAGTTAGCTTGCCACCATATGATTTTCTGATTGGCTTTCTGAAATCAGAGTTCTGTGGCCTACCAGCTGGATGTTCATATCACAAAATTTTGGTCTATTTGTTTCTAATTTTCAGATAGATTCTTAGGCTTATTGAAAGGGCCAGGCCAGGAAGAGACTGTGGTGTCTTCCCTGGATATGGGTGAAGGGTTCCCTGTTCTGTGAAAAGACCACTTTAGGTCCTGGGTACCAGTCTGTAACTTACCAGCATCTATACGTGTGTGGGGAGTGCGTTCACATGGTTAGTGAGTAGTTTTACCTTCTTAATGGGAAATCACGTAGTCCTGCAACTTTTAGAAGGAATAAATGTAGAAGACTTTTTAAAATTGAATTAACATGGCTTTGTGGCCTCTGTGACCTGAACTTCAGATAGCATACTTTTTGGAAAGAGTGTACATTTTGACTACCTGTGCAGCATAATTACAACAATTCTTGGACACAGGCCATTGCTGCAAGCCTAATATGTAGCAAGAAATCAGTCAGCATGCTGGAGAAAACAGTTACCAGTGCAGCAACAGCCTGTAATGAAGGACTGTAACAGAAATGCAGTGTGATAAAGTAGGTTGGTGTTGGGGTTTGGTGTTTTGGTTTTTTAATTTGCTCAGTTCCTTAGAGCTTCCTCATGCTTCCACCTTCCTTAGATGTAAATCTCTAGATGCTGCAGCCTTTTGGCCTCCTGTGAATCTGCCTTAACAGAGAACAGCAGACAGAGTCTGTCAGGTCAGAGCAGGAGCCAAAGGCCTGATTCTTCCACAAAGTAGCTAGATTTCTAAGCTAATTTTCATGTCCTTAATGGTGTTTGTTAGCAATACTTGATCTTTTGTCTGGTCTGTCCTTTTTTTAGTGGTAAAAATACGTAGGCAGTTTTATGATATCCCTCTGTCATAAGAAACAGTAATTGAATGATTTCTTTATGTGGATATGAAGGGGTTTTTTTCCCCCTCACTCTTCCCTATATTATTCATATGCTTAACAATTGTGGAGGTAATTGCAAGACAACTAAGGAGGCAATAATAGAAGTGCAGGTGTGCTGGATATGTTTTCTTAGCCTCTGTGTTAATGTATCATTGAACCACAGCTCCAATCAGCTGATCTGTTCAGAAGCTTAATTAGATCTCTTGCACACAGACATCAGACTAAGTCAGTGTGGCATTGTTACTTCCCCATAGAGTTTGAAAATTATGAGAATAAATCCTGTGGCGGTGGGGTAAATGTTCCTTTTCTGCAGTTATGTCAGGAAGCCATATGGGGAGGGAAAAGAAGGGGTAAGAGGAGAGGAAGTCCCTAGAAAATGTGAGTCACGAAGTAGCTGTCTTTGTACAAAAGAGGAAGTCTGTGAAAACCAGACCCCGAGTGTGGAAGAAGGCTCTGACTTTACATATACTCCCTCTTCTCCTATATGTGTCTTCCAATTGATTATTTTCTTCAGTTCCTGATGTTTCTGTTGGAAGAATAGTAGGGTCTCTTGGTAAATGAATTGGGTCAGTATGCAAAGTGTTCTCTGTAAGTGTGCAAAGTGTTCTTTTTTTATAATAGTCCTAACATGTCTGTTTTCATTTTGTTGTTTTTCAGCTGTATCTTGTTGGAGGATCTTTTGGACTCCGTGAATTTGCTCAAATAAGATATGATGTCCACAAACTACATGGCAAGGTAGTTGAAATGGTTTTTTTCACTTTTCATTTAATTTTACGTATATACTGACTTCTGAAGGATTGCTAGGACAAGCAAACTATTGGTATTGGGGATTTGCCTTTCACCACTGGGCCCTGGACTACAGCTGAGGCTCTTAGGCAGTGAGTAGTGTAGGTAACTAACAGGGCTGACATGATAATGAATCCTTTTACTGTCTCTGAAATTGATCAACATAAATAATAGAAAAATTTTATTCCTTTGGTTGATTATAAGTGACAATTCTGAAGCCTAAGAAACAAGTGTAGCACATCTGGAAGGAGGTTATTACAAATACACTGTATCTGATTTAGACTGAGGAAACAGATATTTTAAAAGGTTCTGTTTTCAAACAATACTTGGCATTGACTATATAATATTAGATGGTTTAGGGGGCTTGGCTTTGCATTGACTGAGATAAGCAGATACCTTTAACATTGTGCTACATCCTGTTCTTCAAGCTCTGTGAAAGAAACAGGAGCTAGTCTTTACTCAGTATATCAGAATGTACTATATGGATGAAGCCTTTCTTTAAACAAATTGGAAACCTTGTGAATGAAGGAAATGCTTGCTTACTGGTGCTACTTACACCCCAAAGTGTAACACTAGTTCCAAGTTGTGTATGAACTGATCTGAAAGGAGCATGTCAGTTCAGAAGAAAATAATATTGGCTTGCTTTCCCTAACTTTGTAATATGCAGGTCTGCCATTGCAATGCAGAGAGGCTTTCTGGTCTCAGTGTTGTTGGCTTGCAGGTGGCATGAAGCTTTTTTTAAAGACTCCAAGGCACATTGTTCCTTGTGTTGTGTACCTAGCTGCGGCCTTTGAAGCACCATGTGGCACACTCCTGCTCAGTCCTGTATTTGACATAGCCCATAGACAGGGGAGAGTGACCTTACAAATCTTTCCTCCAGTGCTGTGTTATGGGTAAGTATTTTCTATCAGTCCTGAGCTTTTAGGATCAGCTATAGCCTTTAAGTTTTTCTCCAGCCGGATGGGGGGATCACATCAGGGGCAAGAATTTGCCTGTTGTGTTTCTGTCAGTTTTTTGGTCAGATTCATACTCAGTGAATTACATTTGGCCTTCATGATCTGCACTGTGACCGCAGCCCAGGGAAAAAACGCAATAATAGGTGTGCTCATTCAGATCTGTGAGGCTTCTTGTCCCAGCATCTATAATTAGACAGTAGTACATGAAAGCTCTGAGGGAAAGTTACTACACCCTGGAGTTCTTAAGCTCTGAAAAGCTAAAAGAAGACATCTGGATTCTGCTCTAACTGGTATTACTTAAGGCTGCAGCATCTCTTTTGTGTTTTCTTTTTCTTTTCATTACTTTTAATTTTATTTAGGAGTAGATGAAATTTAAATAAAGAACAATGTAGTGTTGTCTGAGAACTAGGAACACCAGCTTTGTACTCATTTGTAGACAGACAAATAACAGCAATGTGTTCCATTAGTTTCTGTTTCTCTGCCCATAAATATAGAATTAAGAACCGTTCAAATTCATAAAATAAAAGAGCAAAAGAGACTAGAATGTATTTTATCTGATAAAGAGTTTAAAATGTACGTGAAACTCAGGAAAAGGACGTTAATCTTAAGCAGTTTAAAAACATTATTAAAAAATCCTGATGGTCATAACATCTGTTTAATTTGTCACTGGTTAAAACGTTCTTGTGTTGGAGTAGAATATGCTTTTCTCATATAACACGCTTTGACTAGCGTAAGTACTTATCAGAAGAGGGACAAGTGTTCCATTTTGGGGATTGGGCAGTTACATGCAAATTGCAAGAGACAATAAAATAAATACAAATTTTTTGTTAGAGTTGCTCCTTTGGAATAATAACAATGTTTAATTAAATAACACTTTTCATACAAGGAGCTCAGAAGACTTTCACAGAATTTAAATGAATTAAGCTTCATAGCCTTACTGTTAGAAAAGGTAGGATTATTATTTCCATTTTACTGCTGAAAAAATGGAGGTTGCAAAAAGTTAAGCAACCCATCCAAAGGTAGAACAGGATTTGTAATATCTGAGTGCCTATCTTTTTTGATCATGTTTTAAGGATGTGAAAATTATAGTATGCTCCCTTTTGTAAGCATGACTCCTAAACTTGTTTTCTTGCTAATTCAACTGCTAGATAGACAGACAATTCTTTTGTGGTATATCTTTACTGCATTTCAAATGATAAACTATGATCCCTTGCCTTCAAAAGTATTCGTCCTTTTCCTTTTTCAGTCTAACCATTCTCATTGTGCTGGGAGGGGAAACCACATTAGTAGGCAAGTTCTCAGTTGACAGTGATATTGCAAATGATGTGTTACAGTAAAACTAGTGTCTGTATTTCAGTGACTAAGGGGTTAACTGCCACTTTGTGTTCTGGTGGCTTAATGAGCAAAAGCTGATAATGCCTATGTTATTAATGCCAAACTGGCTTTTAAAGAACATTCCTTGATACAGGAATTAAAATTTGAGAGAAGATGGTGGTTTGGATTTTTGAGGGAGTATGGTTTGGTGGTGATGCATTGGGCTTGGGTGAGGACTAGGGCTGGGAGAGAGACAGAGCCTAGAGCTGGGGCTGGGAAGAGGCTGGAAAAGGGCTTTCTCGTCTTGTTCATTTGAGCCATGGCTTGGGATCTTGGGCTGTGCCTCAGCTGGTGCGTGGGATAGGGAGACAGAGCCTAGAGCTGCAGTTGAAGAGAGTCTGTTAGCATCTCAAGAACAGATATTTTATCCATTTAGTGTATCTTTGGATATCAGGGTTTTGTGTATGCCCATCTCTTGTAAAAGCAAAAGCAACATTTTTGGGTACACCTTAATTTCCTCAGGTCAGTCAGTCATATTCCCACAGCACAGTGAATGTTCTGCATTTAAAGCAAACTTATGCTGAGACTCTTATTGATGTAAATGCTTGTTTATGCTAGTCAGAATTCTCCTGAAACTAATCAAGGGTTTCTCTGTTATCTGTTGTTGCCAAAATGTCCATTAATGGAAAATTCATTAGGTTAGGTAATTGTTTCTTTTCTGGGAAGATTTTATGCAAATCAAAATTGGTTATAGAAAACCAAGTATGCTTACGGGAAAATCATGTGGAATTAGTGGAGAAGAAATGAGTAGGTTTGTATAGGTGTCATTTTAAACACCTTTATTCTCAAATGAAAAACTAGGCCCTTTCTGTGTCTTACTTCTCGTTGTGTATGTAATTGAATAGAGATACTTATTTAAGGAGTTTTTCAGAAAATGTGACTTCTGTTAAATATATAGAAGATGTTTCCTTTCAACCATATAATAATAAATTATTTTTATTTACTGTGTGTCCATTGTTGTCATTCAAGGCATTGTAGAAACTGGCTGATTCAGATCTAAATTTGGATATAAGAACCTTAGACATGTGGAGTGGTCTGTACTATTGGCTGATAGTTACTGTAGAGGGTTGAAGAGGAGCAACATATTAACTACCTGGGAAAATCTAGGCTTTCAGCTCATCAGCAAACCATTCAGACTAATAAAATAGAGTGTTTAAGCTCCAAAACTGCTTTGTTGAAAAAGTCTTATTGTGAGACAGGTTCTCAGAGTATGGGGAGGGGATACGACTGAGCAAGTTCCTCCAGGGTAACATGCGGTGGAAGCACTTCCTGAAAACTAGAATCTCTAGGTCATTTTGTCAGGGGACAACGCATCAGTTAGCCTTTGAAGTCTGCAAATAGTTCCTGCTGTGGATTATGTATGACAGTGTTAGTATACTGACCTCTTTGGTGTTTACAGGCTATGTAGATCCCGTTCACTTTTCCTTTGCCTTATGCAAAGTGAGTGTACCCCAAAAGTAGAATGATAAGATATGAGAATAATAATGTTTTCTGTCTTACTGAGGCAGAATGTAGAGTCAGTGAAGAGTCAAAATGACACAAGTTCAGTCTTTTCTCCTACATGAGTTTTGCCCTTGAATGAGCTGTTGTGCATTAAAATATGTATGACTGTTGTGTGGCACTCCAGGAGTTAAAATCCAAGTGAAAATGAAAATACCTGACCTCTTCTTTCAGAGTGCCATCCTCTATGAGCAATAAAACTATAAACCCAGAAAGAGTATAAAGGAAGAGATGGTGGTGCTGGTGTGAAGCATACTCATTACTAACTGTTAAGAACGTAAAGCTTTCTTTATGCAGACTGAGCAGATTGCCTTTAAAATTTCTATAAAGGGAATGGCAATGTTTTGAGCTCCTTAGCTAATCTTTTTGACCAATTGACTGGCATGTAATTACACATGAGACATTGCTTAGTCACCTGCATGGTGTTAGTGTTGCCATTGTCAGTTCTCATTTATTGCATTTACTTGGTGTCTGGAAGTCCTAACTCATGAAATAATGTAACTGTGAGGATCTCAGCTTTCATTTTGTAATCCTAGACCTTGGAGTTGGGAAGAAGAGCACATAGGATGCATAGAGGATTATCCTAGAAGACTTGTCATTTCAAAAAGAAAAGAATGAGGAGTGGAAGAGAAAAGAAGGCTAATATGATCACTTACAACACTCTCACATTTTATTGGTTTACAGCTGTTCTCATAATTGGGCTTGATAGTGATTTAAGTGTGTTGACTGTCTGGTTGGTTATACTCAGTATTAACAGTTTTAGAATATTGTCGGTATGTCCCTGGTGTTGTCCTTTAACATTGTGTCTTGAAGCTCATGAATGGGTGTCAGGGGACACACAGTGGCATGTGATTTAAATATCTTCCACTGATCTCATTGGAAATTTTATTTCCATCTTATTCGGGTTCTTGCTTCAGTTCCCTCCTCTACCACGGAGCTCCTCTTTGCCTATGGCCAAGTCACTGAATTGTAAGGAGCTTCACTTTCTCAGTCTGTGAAGGGCAGCTAATTAATGCTGCTCTACATTACGTAGGGAACAGGAAAGTTAATTAATTCAAACAGAAGGAATTATTTAAATTCAGGTGAGTAGTTAAAAAACATTTCTTCAGGTGAGATCTA